ATTTTACCAGGTAACCTACAAGACATTTCAGTCAAAAAGCTGGTGAGCCCATAATTAGAGCTAGGCCTGAACGCCCCCCCTCCCCCCACCTCTAAAAGCTAAACCACCCTTTTAAAACTTCGAAAGCACCCCACTCCGAATTTAACTCGATTGTAACTCGTTACTCACATAAAATAAAGCACAATCGCCTTTTCTTAATTGCTTTTGTAAGATGGGCTTTCAATGAGTGTGTGACTACCAAAGTTTAGACTTGCCCAATCATCTTTGATGTATATTTAAATATGTTTATAAACAAACTGGCATTCTAATTGTTGCTGACTTATCTCAACAAATTCAATACCCACACAAGCTTCTTTTCCCTTAGTTCGCACAGGGGAGCCCTATAGAAATATAGTGATTGTACCTGTATATTGCACTTCTTTAGATCACTCATATTCTCTAGAATTGACCCTGATACATTACTATGTGTAGTGTGGTTTTCAGAATAAATAGTTATTTTGATTCCCACGAAAGTTTGGCTCTTTGTATAAGTTCAAGAGATAGGTTGGGCCAAGATCGACATCAACTGCTAGCGACCCATGGTGAAGTTTATCACCAAACGTTGCAGGCCTACATTAAGGCCAAAGCAGCTCACTTCGATAAGTTCATTTATTTCCTTAATGACGGATTTTAGATACAATTTTCAAAATAAATTTTTATATTTTTACAATTTTAGGATAATACTTTTCATATACCCTGAATTTAATTTACTCCAATTTTTTTAGAAAACTTTATATTTTTAATTAAAAATATTGAAAAACACTACTGATTTAAAGATATAAAATTTCAAAATACTTTTTTTTTATTTTACACACAATTTTAAAATAAATACAACAGAATGAAAAAAATCTTCTATGAATTATTATTTTTTATGAAGGAACTTACCCTTTAAGGAAATTGAAGAAAACATTACACTAAATAAAGACTGTTTGATTTGCCAACTTTAGCGAAATAGCTTGTTTCCTTTGTAAAGGCGTTGCCATTTTGTAGCTCTACTTTCTTTCACGCTTTCACAAATTGTAAGTAATGCTATTTTTTAAATTACGTTTATTTAGTTTTTTTTTTTAAATACCGATGCTTTCACGTATTCACTTTTAATTATTATAAGTTTTTTTTTTTAAATGTGCGTTCATACGCTATTTACTCAACAATGTTTAAATACCATTTTCCAATAAAAACTTTTTTTTTGTTCTAGCAAATTATTTAGAAAAAGTTAATTACATGTACATGTATATAACATCTAACGAATGAGTAACGCCTTTGGTATGCAAGGAATGCACGTCAAGCTTTTTAAAGACCTAGAATTCATAAAAATTATAAATTTCATTTTCGCATAAGCAATTTTTAATGGCTTTTTTTAAAACAAAATATTTAACATTAATATTATGAAAAGTTTGTATTTTACCTAGCAATTTTTATAACACCTATCAAAATTATTCCAAGATTGTTTGAATAACCAAAAAAAAAAAAAGATACTTAAGATATTAATTTCTTTTTATCAAAACATGTTTTAGCAGGAAGTAAGGTATAAATATACATTGCAATTCACTTCTTTGTTACATGTCAAGTCTTCCTAACATCTTCAAATGCCTCCATACATTTATAATTACATTTGACAATTAAATGTCAATTTATTTATTGAACTTTCTATAAAATTTAAATTTGATGAAAAAAAATACATATTTTTTGAAAAAGTGCAGCTCTACTAAACTTTAAATAATAATTATAAATTTCCAAAAGATTACTATTTTAGAAGTTTAAAATGGTTGATTACTGATGTAGGTGATAGTAAAACTTTAAGTTTTGGATCATTTTCTCACAAGGTAATAAGACCAAATCCAAATAAATAGTGTGTGGCATTTCAGTAACAGCGTTGTTACCATCTTCAGACTAAAGTACTGAATGGTATAATAATGGTAATACTTTTGTATGAAGATGGTAACAATGCTGTTACCGAAATGTCATACACTATTTATTTATTTGGTCTTATTACCTTGTGTTTATAATCTATAATCCAAATTGTGCCTTATCATCATTTTCTCACTTTGATGTAGAAATTATTAGTATTTGTGAATATATATATTTAATATATATATATATATTTTTGCTTATCCTAGTACACGTGGTACAGGCCATGATAATCATGGTGGGTAGAAGTAGGTGACTGCTTTTACTGTAAGTGCACCACATGTCTACACATGTGAAAAGCAGTTTGACTTTGCACTTACAAATGTGCCAGAGCCCCGTTTGGTTACTTGCACTTGCTGGTGGGGTTGGACTTTTGCAAGATTCGAGGGCCATTGGAGCATTTTTTCTTTGGATATTTAATTTTTAAAAAAGGGGAGGGGGGGGGGGGGTTTCAAGATTAGTGCTTTTTTTTTTGTTAACTAATCTAAACCTAAACTATGCAATAAAATAACCCTTTATATCAATATTATGGTGGAAACATAAGGTTTTCAGAGATAAGTTTGTTTTTTAAAGAATTTAATTCTCTCAGATCTCCTAGCTTTTCGGTATAAAAAGCCTTTCAACAGTAAACACAAGGTAATAAGACCAAATCCAAATAAATAGTGTGTGACGTTTCAGTAACAGCATTGTTACCATCTTCAGACAAAAGTACTGAATGCATTCAGTATGGGATAAATTTCTTTTTAAAGAATTTAATTATCTCATATCTCTAGCTTTTTGGTATAAAAGCCTTTCTACAGTTAACACAAGGTAATAAGACCAAATCCAAATAAATAGTGTTTGACATTTCAGTAACAGCTTTGTTACCATCTTCAGACAAAAGTACTGAATGCATTCAGTATGGGAAATTTTTTTTTTAAAGAATTTAATTCTCTCATATCTCTAGCTTTTCGGTATAAAAGCCTTTCAACAGTAAACACAAGGTAATAAGACCAAATCCAAATAAATAAATAGTGTGTGACATTTCAGTAACAGCTTTGTTACCATCTTCAGACAAAAGTACTGAATGCATTCAGTATAATCATTCAGTACTTTTGTTTGAAGAAGGTAACAACGTTGTTACCGAAATGTCATACACTATTTATTTATTTGGATTTATAAACAAAAGGTAATAAGACCAAAGCTTTTTTTGGATTTGGTCTTATTACCTTGTGTTTATAATCTATAATCCAAATTGTGCCTTATCAATTTTATTTGGATTTAATACATTGTGTGTTTCTATTCTATAATCCAAATTGTGCCTTATCAATTTTATTTGGATTTAATACATTGTGTGTTTCTATTCTATAATCCAA